TGCTGGAGCAAATCTAACCCCCTGCAGGCGTGGAGCTGTAGCAGGGCTCTCTCCACCCCTGCAGGTGATTAAGAGGTCTGCTTATGGTTTACTACACTCAGTAGCACATCAGACTAATAACAGATAACTTGAGTTAGAATATCTAGCTCTTGTATAGCACATCTCATCCATAGATATCAAAGGGCTTTACAAAATACTGACCTTCTGGTCGATATCATTCCCATTTTACAGATCGTGAAACTGAGGCAGAGAGGTGAAGTGACATTTCCAAGGCCACCCACTAGGCCAGTGACAGAACTAGGAATAGAACCCAGCTCTCTTATATAAGTCTGGTGCTTCATCCACTAGGTAACTCTGCCTCACCCATAAAACTGGGGTTGCATCGTAGAAAAAAATCATTTAATGAAAGAGGTAATTCTGTGCTATTCAGATGGAGCCTAAATAAAGATGAGCTGCCTTTTCTATTTCTCTCCTCCTCCTCCCCCCCCCCCACTTTTTTGGTTAAAAGCGCTATAGACACTATTTTGGCCTCATAATTAACAAAAGTATTCCAAGTAATTAGACTTGAGCCTCTACTACCTCAAGTACAGCCTTTTTCTGGAGTGGGAAGAATATTCTTCTCTGATCTGTCTCTGCAAACCTACTATTCTGTGCAACTGAAACAGGACCCATAATCTCTGTTCCATGGAGATTGAAGAAAGATCCTTTAACGTATCCCCTTTATGCTATTTCATAAGCCTTGATTTTGTATTTGTAGTTTTAGTCTTTCTAGGTGCATCAGTGTTTTACCAATAAAATGAACAGACTGTAGGCAGTAAGACCCTGATTCAGTAAGGCACTTAAGCATGTGCTTAAATGCTTGGCTGAACCAGGGCCAAAGTATTGTAGTAGGTGAGAAATTAGAACATAGCTTTTAAAATGTGCTTCTGGGGAGGAGGGAAGAGATGTGACCTTTTAAAATAAAGCAACAAAACGGTGTTTCATAACAGCTACATCTTTTTATAAATATAAGTGGTACTGCTCAAGCATCTGTTTTTGCTGGCTTTTTCATAGGGAATTTGCATATGCTTATACATATGCTGATCCAGAGACACCGCCAGGTTGTCACATTCACCAATCGTTCATCCTACACGTGGTGTATAAAAAATACTTCTGGGACTGTATTGCAGCCATGTGGCTTGCTGGTGTGTTGAATTCCCCCACCTCCTCTTCATCTGTGTAGTTCTTCACACAAAACCTTCTTAATCAGACTGTGTGCAGGAAAAGGTGAATTTCACCCTTTGAGAGCTCCTGCAACGACACTAATCAGCATGATTATTATTACCATTATATTGTTCTATGATCCATTCTCAAGTGATGGAGCTGCCATGTGATCTATGTTCTGGGGAGAAGAATGGGACATTTGACAAGTACAGGTATATTATATTGAACTGAAGTGAAAAAGCCTTTCTTCGGTTGATTGTAATAATTTGTTGCTGTATTATTGTTTTCTCCCACCTAAATATTACTGAAACTCAGAATTTGAAAACTTCAAAGAAAGAGACATCTTCACAACATATAATATCCGATCTATAAAGCTTGAGAGTAATTACCCAAAAGTGTCTCTTGATGTGTAAAAATAGCACCTTCTTAACATATCAGTCCCTGAGTGTAGAAGTCATGTCTGCTTACTTTACTGGCATGAACAAGTTTTTACTACTTCTAACATTACCAAGCCAATGTACCCATGAACGAGTAGATTGTATCCCTATTGTGCATCATTCATCGGAAGTGGAATTGTCAGCTACATTCTAATTGCAGAATCTTAAG